AATTGCATTAATAAAAGAAGTGGTACAATATGTGAGTTCAAGTGTTCATTATTATGACCAAGTTGCAATCTATATATTTAGAGAGATTTAATATGTCCAAGATGTGTTTTGGTATGAGTTTTGTAAGAAGATCTACTATCATTTGATGCATAGATATACATTATACTCGAAACTTCTTTTTTGTTAGATGATGTCTTTAACGTACTTATACTTGGTGTCAATATGTTTGATTCTACTATAATACTTAGGATCTTTGGTATAAGCAATAGTTACCTAGTTGTTACAATAGACTATAATAGACCTTGAGCTATCACTATTAACTTACAAATCCTCAAGAAATTTCTTCAACTAAATTGCTTATTTCATAGCTGCTCGAACATGTTATAAATTTAACCTCTAGTATATAAAACTAGACGGGTTTATTTCTTACTACTCTAAGATGTATCATCATTATTGAGTAGAAAAGCATAGTTAGAAGTGGATTTGTGTTCACCAAGATATCCTATTTAATCAGCATCCGAGTAAGTTTTTCCCTTGATAACATAGACAATAACCACAATGCTCTTGAGATATTTCGGGATTCTTTTCACGACCTTCCAATGCTCTCGATCAAGAATCAACTATATATATATATATATATATATCCGTGTGTGTGTGTGTGCACATCATTACATAGCATACATAAGGCTTCCAACTACAATTGATTATGGCACTTTAGACATCTTTTCTTTTTCTTATAGAGTTTTAGAATACATTTCATGACTTAAAGCCTTGCTTTTTGAAACAATGGTATCCATAGACTTATAATTACCTAGATATACATGATAAATTTTTTATCACTCCTAGCTATCAAAATATCATCAACATATAGAAATAGAATTACAAACTTCTCTTCAATTCTTTTCATATAAGCACAATGGTCTTCCTCAATTATTTTAAAATCATAAGTCATTATTGTCCGAAAATAAAAGTATCATCCTCTAGATGATTGTTTCGGACCATAGATAGATTTTTAGAGCTTGCAAACTTAACGTTTTTGGCCTTTAACAATGAAATCAACTATTCCATATAGCTTTTTTCCTCTATCTCCTTATTAAAGAAAGCCATTTTCGCATCCGTTTGATGCAATTTTAAATTTAAATGTGCTACAATAGTTAAAATTAATCTTATCGAGATAAACCTAACAACGGGAGAAAATGTTTTCTCATAGTTTGTACCCTCTTGTTTGATAAAAATTTTAGCCGCGAGATAAGTTTTATATCATTTAATTGATCCATCTACCTTTCATTATTTTGAGAACCCATTTGTTACCCATTTTTTACGACGTGGCATAAGATCAACTAAACTCTACACCTCGTTCTATTTTATAGATTTTATTTTCTCTTCTAATGCAACTTTTTATTTATTTTTTGCAAGATATGTTATTACTTCTTTCTTATGAGGTTATAATGTATGTTTCATTCTTAATTTCAAATCGTTTTTAAAGAATTCTTAGTCAATTGCTCTTACATAAATGAGAATCACCAATAACGTCAATCAAAATTAGATTGTCCTCATTCCTCCCACTTAATTAATATGATGGTGTTATGCTATCAAAGCTAAAATTAAAACAAAGAGAGTTTAGAACAAATAGATGTGTATCGACTTTCGATTGATTTACATTATTTTTTTCTTTGCTTTTATCTAAAAAAAAAAATCATTTTATCTATTTTATTCTTTTTATGAAAGAGATCTTATAGAAAGGGACATCTCAAGATTTAATTTCAGTGGCTCATCCATTGGAGTCCTCACTAATAAAAATGTATCCCTTTGCGTATTTAGAATATATTACAAAGATACTTTTCTTTCTTTTAGGCCTCAATTTACCATAATCATGGAAAGTGTCATGAACATATGCAAAAAACTTCTAGGGGTGCAAATGATGCAAATCGGGCTTACGGTATGTTCATAACTCATAGTGTAGAGGCTACTAATTTAGAAGGCACTCAATTAAGTATATAGGTCATATTTATAAGTACATTTATCTAGAACTGAATCAAAATAGTCATATGTGTCATCATAGATCTAACCATGTAATAATGTACGGTTCTTATGCTTTACTACATCATTTAGTTGTGGTGTTCTAGAAATCGTAAGTTGTTTAGTTATTCTTTCTCATTACAAAGACTCTTAAATTGATCTGATAGATACTCATAAACTCTATCAATCCTTAAAGTTTTAATTCTTTTGTCTAATTAATTTCCAACCTCGTTAACATATTTAGTGAAGCAATCTATTGCTTTTGGTTTGTAGGAGATCAAAAAACATGACCGAATCGAGTGAATTCATCTATAAAAATAATGAAATAGAATACTCTATGTCTAGCTCTTACATTCATAGGACCATAAATATCCGAATGTCTTAGTTACAAAGGAGATTCTACCATTTGGGCTTTACCAAATGGTTTTTAGTTACTTTTCCTTGCAAGTAATATTCTCAAGTAGGCAAGTCAATTCTTGTGATTGATCTTCGAATAACATCTCCAGACTAATCTCTTCATTCTATCTTGCCCAATATGCCTTAATCTAGCAAGTCATAGATTATATCTACATTATCATTGTTAAAATCGGTTAGCATAGAAAAACATATATTACTATTTTTATTAGAATATTTGGTGTTCAATACCATAAAACTATCCATAATATAACCAAATCTTAAATAAATAGAACCGGTAAATATGTCCAAAGTACTACCACGAATTGTAAATTATGTTCTAATTTTAACAAAACAATTATAGAGACTAAATTTCGTTGAATGCTGGAGTATAAAGGACATCATGCATATACAAGGTTTTTTCTTCTTGCAAATTTAATTTTCACGTGCCAAATCCAAGCACTTCAATCCTTGTATAATCCATATATATCCATCATGCCCCTCCGGGAATCCGATAAAATTCCACAAATGCATCTTAATCTCTAACTACATGATCGGTGGCTTTTGAGTCCGCAATCTAAAAAGAATGAGATTCGATGAGCATTATAATTCAAGAGTTACGATACTAATGTAATAAAATGTGTTTCATTAGATTAGTTGATAGTGCTATTAAATCATTGTCCGAATCTCACGATTCAAGTGCAATTAATATAATGTCATTTTGTGTATAGCTATTTGTTTTATATCTTTATCCTTTTTTTCCTCTCATATATATGGCATGAGGAAAACTTGATAATTCAAGAGCTCTAATACTCATGTAATAAAATATCTTTTATTAGATGAGTAGATAGTGATATTATCCTATATACTAAAACAAAATGCTTTTTCATCGTAGCAATAAACGAGTGTCAATCACTCGTTCATTGCTACGGTGTTTTGTTTTTTTTTATGATTTTCATTAATCGTTTTTTTGTTAGACCCCCAAATCCGTTTACTTGTTCATTTGAACGATAACGACTTCCTTTTTTTTGTAAACATTGAATTTTTAAAAAATTCCGCCCATTTACTTGTTTACATGAACGATGAAACGGCTTGCACCCTTTTTTTTTTTTCTCGAACATTGAATTTTTTTTAATTTCTATTTCTTAATAGTATTTGGTGTTAAAATTTTAAAAGAACCAACAATTAATTAGGTGTTAAAATTTTAAAGAAACCAGCAATTTATTTCCTTTATTATTTATTTTTAAAATTAAAAAATATATATAGTTAAATACAAAATTTTTAATTATTTTTTATCATAAAATAGATTATTAAATTGAAATAATTTTTCTAAACGATTTTATATATTTTATCCAACCCGCGACATAACGCGAGTAAAAAATCTAATACTATATACTAAAGAAAAACTATTTTTCATCGTATCAATGAACAGTGTTAATTATTGTTCATTGCTATATTACTTTGGCTTTTTTTGTTTTTTAATTTTTCATTTTTTTTTCCAGCACTCTGTTGCCCTTTCCCTCTCCTTTTTTTTACCCGTTTATTGTTCATTTGAATGGTAAACGGCTTGCCCTCTTTTTTTTTTAATTTCCATCCGTTTACTATTGACATGAACGATGAAACTAGTGGCCTCCTTTTTTTTTCCCTAAACATTGAATTTTTTTTAATTTTAATTTCTAAATAATATTAGGTGTTAAAATTTTAAAAGAACTAGCAATTAATTAGGTGTTAAAATTTTAAAGAAATCAATAATTTATTTGCTTTATTATTTATTTCTAAAATTTAAAAACACAAATAAGAATATAGTTAAATATAATTTTTTTTTCATTTAAAAATGATAATTATTTTTTATCATAAAATAGATTTTTAAACTGAAATAATTTTTCTATATGATTTTATATATTTTATCCAATCTGCAGTGTAGCGCAGGTAAAAAATCTAGTTAAGTTATTATTTGAGTTTAACGATCCATGTGCAATACCATGTCCTTTTTTTCTTGTTATTTGTTTTATACTTTATCTTTTGTTTCCTCACACACAAATACACATGAAGAGAAATTTTATAATACTTAAGGGTAACTAGTATAAGTTACTCCATAAAAAAAAAAAAAAAAAAAAATCGAGCTAAGGTGAAAATCTTTTTATCATTTTTTATGAATCATGATGTGATTTTTTTTTATGTGTTTATCTCGTTTTTCAAAATTGAGCTCATTGAATAACAACTATATACACTACATACTGATTGAGTATATAAAATTTATCTACACACGACAGTAGAAAGGAATAACTTATCCTGCTATTGCTCCTGCAACCACACAATAGCTGCTTGATTGGGTTGTTGTTGTTGTTTTTTTTTTTTTTTTTCAATTTGTTGTCAACCTGTCATGGGCCATACTACCTAAATCCTTTTTTCAACGTGAACTTTCTTCATCCGCGGCTTTCTCAAGAACGTTTTATTACGTGATTCAAAGTTGTTGCCCAAAATTTCCCTGATAACATCATTATTGATTTCTTTTCTTTGGATAAATATCTTCAACTTATTCGCTCTTGTTTTGCTTCTTCTTGTGTCAACTCTTTGTTTCCATATCAATGGCTGCTACTTCTATGTCCTCTCCTTTTTGCAGTTGGTTTCTTGCTGCTTCTATGTCTCTGGCTTGTGAGAGAGATCAGCCTTTAAGATCCCCTATGTCTCAGTCTCCAAAAAGAATTAACCTAAGGACCAGACCAAAGAAGTTGGTGTCCAAATGTAGCAACAAAATTGGTGGTGCTGGCCAGCATTCAAGTAACTCAGTCTCATCATTCTATGGTTTTGTTATCCGAAGATCAATGAGTTCTTTTGAATCTTTTAAGACCTTTGAGGAGCTTCACAGTTCACAAAGGTTGTCTTTTGGTGGTGAGAATATTTTCTCGCTTTTTGGATCAAAAGCAGCTCCATTAATGAATCGAAAGCCAAGGCATAAGAATGGTTAGTATTTGTCTGTTGCATTGTATTGGCAGAAAGAGTAGGACTTCTGTGGTGCTCCCTTTCTCCTGATTGCAAATGTGGATCAAAAGTACACCATTAAATCCGTATTATAGTACTTGGTTTAAAAATGAAAAATACTTCGGTTAAAATTGAAAGCCTGTAGAGGTTATCAAAATTTCTTAAAAACTGGATTAATTGCTGTCGACTTGCTTTCAGGATTCAGTATGGCTGTGGCTGTTCAACCTGAAAGCGATGTAATAATGAAGAAAAGGCCTAATAAAGAGCAACGACGAGTTATTGTAACTGGAATGGGAGTTGTAACCTCTATTGGTGATGATGTAGATGTATACTACAGTAATCTTCTCGATGGTGTTAGCGGGATAAGTAAAATTGAGTCCTTTGACTGTGCTGAATATCCAACGGTATGTTTTCTTTGGCTCAAAAACTATTGCAATAAAGGGTTGTATCAGCTTTATTCTCAGAGTCTCAGTATTAGTGGTAACAGAAAATTGCTGGAGAAATCAAGTCTTTCTCACCAGATGGATGGGTCTCGCCAAAGCTTTCGAGAAGGGCAGATAAGTTTATGCTTTACGCTCTTACTGCTGGCAAGAAGGCCTTGGTAGATGGTGGGGTAACAGAACAAGTCATGGACGAGTTGGATAAAACTAAATGTGGGGTCGTAATTGGCTCTTCAATGGGAGGCCTAAGGGTAAGAGGAGTTGCATCATCTCACAAATATAAGACTTTTATATGGTCCTGGCCATTAGCAGAGAGTAAAATGCCTAAAATTGTTTCCAAATTGCAATATCAGATACTTGAAATGATGTCAAAAACTGAAATGAATGTCGTGGCTCTTGGACAGGTTCATTATGAAGGAGTAGAAGCATTAAGAGTTTCATATAAGAAGATGAATCCATTTTGTATACCTTTTTCAACGTCTAACATCGGTTCTGCTATGCTAGCACTGGATTTGGTAAGATCAAAAGATCGGGTCAGCTAGTGGCATATTATAAAATTAATTGCTGATGCAACATTCCAGAAATTTACATTTGCTCAATTTCAGGGATGGATGGGCCCCAGCTACTCAATATCCTCTGCTTGTGCAACTAGCAACGTTTGTATACATAGTTCTGCGAATCATATCATCAAAGCTGAAACTGTAAGCCCCTCACTTGTCTCATTAAGATGGGTTTTACATTGCTGCTTTTAGATCCTTTTTTTTTTTTTTTTTCAGGAATGCATCTACTCTTGTTTATTAAACATGAATTCTTGGATAGAAGTGCTCATTACTTCTATAAAGTAGATATATAGACAATATTCAATCCAACAGTCGTCCTGACTTTGTGATATTTGCAGGACTTGATGCTTTGTGGGGGCTCTGAAGCAACAATTCTTCCAATAGGTAGCATATGCCACTCGCATTCTGTTAGTGGTTCTGTTTCCAAATGTTTTGCACGCTTTGAACTCATCGTTTTGGTATATTCATTGGAGTTGCAGGATTGGGAGGTTTAATGGCTTGCAAAGCACTTTCACGAAGGAACGATGATCCAACCAAAGCTTCGCGCCCTTGGGACACTGTACTGCTTCAAACTTTCTTTTAATCAATTGAAAGTTATTGATGTGTGAATCCCCATGAGTTATGATCCTTAACTTGCATTTGATAACAAAACTAATGTCTTTCTAATTAGACAGTGGTTGGATGCTATTTGAAATTGGAAATTCATAAACATACTCAGAGTCAAATTGTTGAAAATTTAATACATTTAATGTAAATTAAATTTCATAAGAAAATATTCAAGCAAAAAAAACACTAAATTTACGAAACAAGGCTATAAAACTATAAAAATACTAAATTTATGGAAAAAAAAAACTATCTTTATAATTACGAGTAAAACTATAAAACCAACTTCAAAATAATCTACTATAAAAAAAATTAATATAATCATTCAAATTTTTTTATGAATTTTAAAAAATAAAAATATCAATAGTGCACGTGATATAGTGATCCAAAGAAGCCGTATTCTCTGTCTTGCCTTCTGTCTCACACGGCAATTGTACCGAAAAAGACGATGCTAACACTTTCATATATATATATATATATATATATATATATATATACTTGTCGGCAATGTCAAAAGCAAAATAAGAAAAGTCAAATCAAACTTTTTCCTTTTTTTTTTTTTTTTGTCCCCTTTCCTCTCTCATTATGGTTTGCCCTTTAATTGTCTTTTTCCTTCAATAAGCCCTTTTTCCATTTTTCCATTCAATCCTCTTCCTAATCAATTTTCCCTAATTAATTTCTTCATGGATTATGTTAAAATCACTCATAAGCTTGATCTATAACATATACCTAATAAATCTCCTCCTCTAGCCTATGAGGAAAAATCTCAACTAATCATCTAGAGTACATATTATCCGCATTAGCATATAATCTATTTGTCTTAAATGATATCAATTTTGTTAATATATCAGCATAATCTTTATGTTGTAAAATCATTTCTAGTGTCATCAACTGTTTCATCATTACTAGACAAAGTCAATGATACCTCCAATCATTAAATTTTGATTATTAACTCTTATCATAAGTCAAAATATTACGAAGCTACTAAGTTCTCCCTTGTCCATCAACAAAACATTATTAGGACTAGAATTCTTGATAAAAAGAATAATGTTGACCAATAAACCTACTCACCTGAGACTCTACATTCTAAAATAGAGGGTCATGCTCCTTTTGTTCGACATTTTATATGTCTTTATCCTCATCATTACTAATTATTGGCTTAATATTAATTCCATATTCTTCCATAAAATACTCCTCTATATGTGGGAATCTCTTTAAAAAAAAATAACACGAGGCTTCTTTGTCAATCTTTTTTCAATCACTTAAACCTATTGTCTAGACCGAACTTTGAAGAAATTCAATGTCTAACTGCACTATTTTTTAAGTCCGATTAAATACACCTTCATCATGTGTAGTTTATCACAAATATTACCTCTAACAAACTATTGATTTCTTAATAAGTTTGTATTTTTCATCACCAAAATAATTGTAATATTCAACAATGTCCAAGGTACGAATAGAAATCAAATTCAAGTGTACATCTACTACATGCTTCACATCATTTAATAAATATTTTAACATTAGCATAATTATTATTATCCATCTTTACTTTACTAAAGTCTCTTGTTTTATACACACTAAAGAATTTCTTTCTAAAAGTAGCATGATATGGAGTCATTGGGTCAACAACTCATTCAACACAAGAATATGCGATATTACACTTATCATTTCCATACAATAGTATCGCTACATCCCAAATCTAAAGTTAATACTGTAGTGGTATTCTCATTATCTTCTTTTCTATTCTTCTTGTTCTTTCTTCCATGCATTGCGAGTGATAACATTTAAAACTATCATTGGTCCGTGATCTGTCTTTATATTTATTGTGCCTACTAAATTGTCTATTTTTAATTATCCCTATGTTTTTTGTGACAAAAACTTAGGTTTCATTTGCTACCACTTCGCTTAGTCTTATTTCTTCATTGAACGTGCAATCTTTAAACATGAATAAAGACAAAACACAATTCGAAACAGAATTAACAAGTAATTCAACTAAAGTCTCTTAGCTGTTTGGTAAAACACTTAGTAACAATAAAGCTTGTAACTCATCATCTAGTACTATTTTTATAACCATCAACTAATTAATAAAATTCTAAAAGCCACTCAAGTATTTAGCAATAAACCTTCCATCTTTGTATTTCAAATTATTAAGCTTCCTAATAAAAAAAAGTTTTATTCCATGTATTCTTTCTTTCATACATATCCTCTAATGTTTTCTATAATTCTTAAACATCTCGCTTCTTTAGTTATGTAGTGAAATACGTTATTGTCCAATCACTCGTTTATAGCTCTAATAGTTTTCTATAATTCTTTTTTTCCCAAGCATCATTAGTATTGGCTGTTGGTTTGGCTTTACTAATTCAATTGGATTACAAAAATCATAGTAATAAAATAAATCCTTCATCCTCGACTTTTAAATTGAATAATTCGAAGTCGTTAGTTTGATCATGGTTCTAAATTATTTTTCTCCATCTAATTTATACAAATATTTCAATCAAAACTTTAATACTAGTGTTATAAATTTAATCTCACTCAATGTAAATTAGATTTCGTGAGAAAATAATTGGTAAAAAAAATAATTCAGTCAAAAACACATAACAATTAAGAGCACAATCACGATAACACTAGATTTACGTGGAAAGTCCTCTCTATCATAGAAAAGAAAAAAAACTATAGGAGTAATTCAAAATAATCTACACAATCTAATTAAAAAAAATAATAATACAACCACTTAAGTTTCTTTGTGAACTTAAAAAGCCAAAGTATTAGCAGGAATACAAATTACCTCTCTACCTATATCTATTTTACTACAAAGACTTGGAATCTATAAAACTTTATGTTTATGTAAAACCTAATACTTTATAAGATTATCACTTTAAACACTACAATAATTTTCTGTGATTATATTACTTAAAAATCAATACTAAAAAAACTCTAATGTATATCCTTCTTCCCTTGATATAACAATCCAAGAAAAAACTTGTTTTTTTTTTTTTTATCTCTTTCTCTCTTGCCCGCTCTGTGACACGGCAACTAGACCATAAAAAGGAGGGGGGAAAAAAACATGCCAACACTTTCATATATATATATATATATATATATATATATATACACTCGTCGGCAATGTCACAAAGCAAAATAGGAAAAGACGAACCAAACTTTTCCATTTTTCCTTTCTCGTCACCACACACGCCACACACTTATGGTTTGTCCTTTAATTTTCTTTCCTCTTCAATTTATTTATTTTTTTCTATTCAATCTTTTTCCTAATTAATTATGCTAAAATCACTTATGGACTGGGACCTATAGTATATACCACAACACAGATCATGTAAGATTATAGCCATCATGTCTAGAGAGAATTAAAGCATTAATGTTGAACTGCTTTTCACTAATCAGAAACCATCAAGCGAGTCAAAATGTAGTTTAATTAACATCAAATTTGGTAAACATGCATGTAAAAAGCATTACCACTGTATTACAAAGGTCGTGAGTTTAAACATTATATATAGCGACTAAATAGAAATCTTAATCTAGCCAGGGTTCATTTGTTCTGAATCAGATTCTTAATTAAGCCAAGTTGCGAATTCTATAATTGAGCAGGATCGTGATGGATTTGTTCTGGGAGAAGGAGCTGGTGTTTTGCTGCTAGAAGAACTGGAGCATGCTAAGGTACACTTGCTGCAGATCACCCCCTTAAAGAATCTCTCCTAGAGAACATTAATTTATGCAGTATGTTTGGATTTTCCCTCTTACACATACAAGTTTTTTTTCCCCACTTAATTCCATTTTTACATGACAGAAAAGAGGAGCAAAAATCTATGCGGAGTTCCTTGGTGGAAGCTTCACTTGTGATGCTTATAGCATAACTGAAAGTCATCCTGATGGTGAGAAACAAGTCAATCGAAAAACAAAATACTAAAAAGCCTGTTCCTTTTCCTTTCTTCTCACTGTTCTGATCTAAAATCCAATTTGCAAAAAGTTTTGAGGGAATGAACTGTAAGGCTGTGTTTCTTCATTTCTGATGGAGAAAAGTATTCATGCACCTTATAGGCAAAGAATCAGTAACCTATGAGGGTATGAATTAATGCTCCTATTTTTATTTCTGAAATCAGGAAAGGGTATTGCTCTCTGCATAGAAAAGGCCTTAGCTCTATCTGGTGTAGCTAGAGAAGATGTAAATTACATAAACGCACATGCAACATCTACACCAATTGGTGATCTGACAGAATATCAAGCTCTAGTTCGTTGTTTCGGCAGGAATCCTGAGGTAGAAGAAAATCAAATAATTTGTTTTGCATTAAATCTTCACAATCCTTCTTCAACATGCTTACTTTTACTCCAAATCATCAGTTAAGAGTGAATTCTACCAAATCCATGATTGGTAACCTACAAGGAGCTTCAGGTGCTGTAGAAGCTGTGGCAACAGTTAAGGTTAGCAGCTCTACTTCTTCCATGCATATTGGTGATGTCAGTCGCAAGTATACTTTACACAAAATAATTTCCAAATATTATAGTTGATTCTGAACCTTTTTTTTTTTTTTTTTTAATTTATTTAGGCAATACAAACGGGATGGCTCCATCCCAACATCAATCTTGAAAATCCTGACAAAGCTGTGGTATGGTATCGTGTGAACTCATATCAATATAGGCTAAGTCCTTCCCAAGCATTTGTTTTCAGTTTCCTGTGCTTTGTCTTGATATCTGAAGCCTAAATGTGCTGATTCAGGACATGAATTTGCTCATTGGTGCCGAAAAGGAACGCATGGACATAAAGGTGGCATTGTCCAACTCATTCGGCTTTGGCGGACACAACGCTTCCATCTTATTTGCACCTTACAAGTTATAAATCATTTACATTTATAAATATATTATAGACTAATAACAGCTGCACTTAATTTCTTCTTCACATGTTAAGGTGTTTTCTTCCCCCGTCTGTAAAAAGGAAGAATGTGAGTGCAGAGAAACTACGGTAAATCAAAATGATTTATTAGGGATTTATGGCGACTGCAATTAAGTTCTCAAACTATTTGCTTTGTTCCTCTTCCTATCAAATCAGAACGGGCTTGCAACTTAGAAAACCTATAAAAAGAAAAAATGACCCTGAAACATGCGCCAGTTAAGAAAAGGCATGGGGACAACGGCTGGGGTTTATATGCTTCAACCAGCAAATGGTAAATCCTGTGATCCAGTCATTCAGAGTTCAGACAGCATATCTATCCACTAGAGTCAATTGTGTCAGCATGGGGGAAGCACGGACTTGAAGAAGAGGTATTGCGTGAATTAAACCAATGAAGAGAGCCCATAACGCTTGTAGATAGGATGAAACTACGTTTAGTAAAAGTGAATAAGGGAAGGATGGAAGAGAGTATGTATCATACCTACAAAAGAATCTATCTGTTGGTTGGAATCTCAGATTTTTCAGTTCTGGCAAGGTGGACAGATTGATAGCATAAGTTGAATGTATAACGCCCTACCCTACACTGTCTCACACCTAAGAGTACAAAGCAATACACTGTATCCTCTATCCTGAATCTCTATCACATTGCACGGTAGAATACCTTATTCAGTTTAAGGTTCAAGACTTCCTAAAATTTGATATTTAAGGCTAATAAAATTTTCACAACTTAAACTATATATTTGTAAACATCCTATACCATTTCATTTTCATTCTTGAATTAAAACCAACATGTGCATAAATCGAACTTAAATTCATTCAATAAACCTTAATACATCCATAATTAAATTAACTTGGCAACATATCCGAAATTGACATAAACTTTTTCTTATCCTTTAATTTCATCAATATATATATATATATATATATATATATATCCAAAATGACCAAAAGATCAACCTATAAACTCAAAATAGCCGAATCTAGGCAATTCTCAAAAGTGGCTAGAACCTAACAATGGTTTAGCTTTTAAACTTTAAACCTGGACTTGTTGTACATGATTTGACAAACTTTATAGCTCATGGTCAGCATCCTCAACACATTTAACTGATCCTCAAACATTGTTTTGCTCACCTAAATCACAAGACAAAAAAAAAAAAAAGAGCTAAAACTCAATAATTGTGACTATCTATGCATGTAATGAAAACCATAATTTTTCATGCTTGAAATTCTTTTATATCTTTCGGGTGTACCTAACCGAATGTATATAAATTCAACCCTCTTTAGCTATAAAGGCTCATGGAAACCATAAAGGTTCTAGACATGTTCGATTTAATGAACCTCATAAGGATTGATCATTTTCCTTATCCTTCTTGAACATGTCTAGCTATGTCGTTGTCCTCATAAAATCATGCTCTCCTAAAATCATGTCCTCATAAAATCATGTAAATGTCCTTTTTTGAATGCTTGAAATCATGATATAAAATATTTTATGATATGAATGCAGTTAGAACGCACACACTAAGCCATGACATGAACATAATCCATGTAAAACCATCTTATGAACACAATCCATGTAAAGCCATCTCATAAGTATCATGTATAAACATGAACATAAACCATATGGTATTAAATCATTCATGAACATAATCAATATGACATGACTAGGATGAAACATCAAGCCTTAAAACAATATGAACATAATCCTAGCAACATTAATCAATTACCAAATCAGAATTTTATCGACAAATAACAACATTAAGCATGTTCATGGCCATAGGCCGAATCCATCACAAAATATAACATACAATCTTCCATTAAACCTATCTAGGCCAGATCATCTCTCATCAACAAAACCCTCCAATTATTTTACCAATCAAGTCAACCAACCATAAACAAGCCAAGTCCATCATACAAGCCAAATCCACCAAACAACAACAACACAATCAATTATAATCAATACAATCTATAATCTCAATAACAAGTCCAATAAACATAAGCCAAAGCGAAGACTATCAATTTTCCTCAAAGTTTTAATTAATAAGCCTATAATCGAATCACAACAACATTTCTCAAGTATTTAATTTATCCAAAGACACAAAATCACTCAATTAACCAAGCATGGCCGAATTCATTATGTAAGTCAAGTCATCCCATATCAACACAACTAACAAATGATTTAACCATTACAATTCAAGTAACCTCAAGCAAAACCTCTCCTAGCTGAATCATCCATCACCACCATCATTATTCAATTGTCCAAACCAAATCAAGCAACAATAATCATAACCGCATAACATCAAGCATACACTAAAGCCAAAACCATCATTATTCAATATGCACCTAACCATATGATCAAGTGACCTCAAAGTAGTTACCTAACCAAAATAATCTATTAACACCTAAGTGCCCAATTATCCCATATACACATATATGCAAAACTTTATAACTTAACTCTAGCCGCACCCATCAAACATCAACACAACCACTCAATCAACATGCCTAACCGAATTCAATACCAATGAATCCTAGCCGAACACATTAAGCAAATCAAGTCATTCCACATCAACACAACCATCAAATCATTTCAACCATCATTTTTAAGTAACCTCAAGCAAGCCAATTCCATAAAGCAAACTAATTCCATAAGGCAAACCAATTCTATAAAGCAAACCAATTCCATAAGGCAAACTAATTCTACAAAGCAAACCAATTCCATAAGCAAACCAATTTTATAAGGCAAACTAATTACATAAAGCAAACCAATTCCATAAGCATTATCACCATTATTCAATTCATAAGTATATCCCTAATTTCCAACAACAAGCACCATAAGCATACATCAAAGCTAAAACCATCAATCTTCAATAAACTATTCATTCAACAAGCCAAATCATCCCAATTCAAGTAACTTTAAGTAAAATATCATCTAGTCAAATCATCCATCATTAGCATCATCATTCAATTATCTAAACCAATCTAAGTAACCACAAATAAACCATCCTCATTCATTTAACAAGCTAAGGCTGAATTATGTTAAGTAGTAATACCACCACCAAATCAACAAGGCAAAGCTAAATCCATCTAAAATCACACAACACAATTAACCAATCTTATTTCACACATACCAATCAAGCATAGCCATGAATATTTATCAATTAAGTTTAACCAATAATTAACCACATAGCCCAAAACTAAGAATTTTCAAATCTTACATGGATACCACATTACCCATGCTAAAACAACAATTAAACAATGCTCATCATTAATACAATGGCCAATCTTCAATTGGTTGTTTACAAAATAATTTCATAATGTAAAGTCACAATTTAGCAACTAACCCAAACACAAGAATTTCTAAGTTTGCATGAATACATCATTAAACACATTCATCGATACTTAAGTACATGTCCTAACATCAAATTGGTCAGTCATTCATCAATTCCATAATCCAAGCATCGATTGCACATAATTCATTCAAAGGAACAATTAGAAACCTTAAGTTTACAAGAACACAAATCACCAAATCTATACATAAATATCCTAAGTCTTATGGTGAGTTAAAGTTACATTTACTTTAGGTTTGATTGAAGAGAAAATCACCCCGAAAACCATTGAAATCCACTCTCTTTTCCTTGCTCAAAGTTTCAACGAAAACAACTTAATCTTTTTCTCTTGACCAAACTCCTTCCCATTGGCCATTCTCTCTTCCACCTGACCAATTTTCCTTCCTTTAAGAAACTTTTCTTATTTTTCCTAACTCTCTTTCAAAATTTTAAGCCCTCAAATTGATGAAAAAACAATAATTGAAAACTTAGCTTTCTCTTCCTTTCTATTTCTTCTTGTCGAATCTCTCCCTTTTGGCAATTCTATCCAAATTTGGCTTTCGGTCAAATCTCTCCTCTTGGCTAAACTCCTTCTTTCTCTCGGTAAATCTTCCTATTTCTTGAGAAATTTCAGGTTTGCTCTTGTTTTCTCTCTTGCTTCCTAGGTAAATCTCTCTTCTTGGCTAAAATCCTTCTTTCTCTCGCAAATCTTCCCTTTTCTTGAGAAATTTCAGTGTTCCCTCTTGTTTTCTCTCTCACTTCCTAGCCTTCTTTCTCTTTTAGGTGTTCAAATTCTCTTTAAAAAAGATGGATGCAAAATGAAAACTAAAAAAGAAACTCCGCCCTCTCTTTTTTTCCTCTCTTGGCCAAATTATATGGACTAAAACACTCTTAATTAAGATACATGTCTTAAGGTAGATATTTTACACTTAGATATTTTAATTTAAGTAGAACACCTAATTATGATATTATTTCCTAGATTAATTCATATTTAAAATAGTAATTAAATTTTAAATTCTAAGTTATATATTTATGAGAATTATTTAATTAAATTATATTTTTCTAAGTCTTTCACTTGTCAATTAATTCACTATTCACACATAATACGTAGCAACATTAATTTTGCAAATAAAACACCTATTAAGAATAACACAAGTATGATAAGAACATATTTAATAAATAACATACATATAAAGTATAGAAATATTTCGAGTATTAAATCCTCTTATCCTTATAAAACCTTCATCCTCGGAATTAACTTACTCAAATAATTCCGGACACTTCAATCTCATTTTAGCCTCTTGCTCTCATAGCCTCCTCCACGTTGTGATTCCTCCATAAGATTTTAACTAATTCAGCATCTTGTGACTTTCCCTCCTTAATCCTTTGCTTCAAATATGGTTCTAAAGCCATTATACATAACAAACTATTGTCATCCCCTCTTGGCATAACCTCCAATTGCAAACTCTTCATGTCCCTAACAATTTTAGCTTGCATTGAAGCCCATGTCTTTCGACTTAAAGCATCCATCACAACATTTGCTTTACTTGAGTAGTAATTGAGAGCAATGTTGTGATCCTTTAACATTTCAAACCATCTCTTTTATCTCATGCTCAATTTCTTTTATGTGAAGATTTATCGAGACTTTTATGATCAGTATAGATCTCACATCTAACTCCATACAAATAGTGCCTCCAAATCTTTAAGGCAAAGACCACAACTACTAGCTCTAACACATGTGTAGGATATTTCTTTTCATAATCTTTCAATAGTCGTGAGGCATAATCAATCACCCTACACACTATTAAAAAATTATCAAATAGCGATGAAAATTAATGATGGAAGTTTATTCATCTCTAGCAAGTAAATAATGACAAAATAGCTTTTGCTAGAACCAACAATGGAATAACGATGGAATTACAATGGTTTATTTGTGACGAACACTAATCCGTTGTTAAATTTTGTGACAAAATCTTCTCGAAATTTTTAGAGATGGTTTAGCAATAGATTTACTAGGAAAATAGTGACGAAATTGTAAATCCATCACTATTTTCAATAACTTAATTTAGCGATGGAAGACACATCCTTAGCAATTTAGCGATGAGAAATCCATCACTAGCCGAACCCATCAAGCATTAAAATAATGACTTACTCAACATGCCTAGCCGAATTCAACACCAATGAACCTTAGCTGAATACATTAAGCAAACCATATCATTCCACATCAACACAACCATCAAATCATTTCAACCATCCTTTTCAAGTAACCACAAGCAAACCAATTCCATGAAGTGAACTAATTCCATAAGCAAACCAATTCAATAAAGTAAACCAATTTCGTATGCAAACCAATTCCATAAGGCAAACTAATTCCATTAGCAACATCATCATTATTTAATTCATAAGCATATCCATAATTCCCAACAACAAGCACCATAAACATACATCAAAGCCAAAGCCATCAAGCTTTTGTAAACCATTCATTCAATAACCCAAATCATCCTAATTCAAGTACACTCAAGAAAAATATCACCTAGCCAAATCATCCATCATTACCATCATCTTTCAATTATGTAAACCAATCCAAGTAACCACAAACAAACCGACCTTATTCATTTAACAAGCTAAGGCCGAATTATGTAAAGCAACAATAACACCACCAAATCAACAAGCCAAAACCAAATCTATCCAAAGTCAACTAATATTATTAAATAAATCTCATTTTATACATATTATCATAGCCATGAATATTCATCAATTAAGTTTGACCAACAATTAGCCACATAATCCAAAACTAAGAATTTTTAAGTCTTACATGAACACCACATTATCCATGCTAAATAAATAACTAAACACATGTCCTCATTAATAGAATGGTCAATCTTCAATTGATTAATTACCCAACAACTTTATAATGTAAAGTCACCATTTAGCAACTAACCCAAACCTTTGAATTTTTAAGTTTCCACGAATACATCATTAAACACATTCAATCAACGATTAATTACATGCCATATCATCAAATTGGTTGATCATTCATCAATTTCACAATCCAAGCATCAATTGAACACAATTCATTCAAATACATAATTAGAAATCCTAAGTTTCACAAGAACACAAATCACTAAATCAACACATAATTACCCTAAGTCTTTATGGTGAGTTGAAGTTACACTTATCTTAGGTTTGATTGAAGTGAAAATCACCTTGAAAACCCTCGAAGTTCCCTCTCTTCTCCTAACTCCAAGTTTCGGACAAAACAATCAAATATTCTTCCCTAGGCTAAACTCGTTTTCTCTTGACAAATGTCTCTTCCTCTCGGCCAATTTTCTTTCTCTTGAGAAATTCAGCTCCTCTCTTGTTGTTCCTAGATCTCTTTCAAGTGTTTAAGCTCTCAAATTGATGGAAGAAAAAACAATTGAAAACTTAGCTCTCTCTTCATTTTTATTTCTCCTTTGGCCAAATCTCTCCCTCTTGGCAGTTCTATCCAGATTTGGCTCTCGACCAAATCTCTCCTCTTGGCTAAACTCCTTCTTTCTCTCGACAAATCTTACCCTCTCTTGAGAAATTTCAGGTTCCCTCTTGTTTTTTCTCTTGCTTCCTAGCTTTCTTTCTCTCTTAAATGTTCAAGTTCTTTGTTAAAAAAGATGAAGGTACAATAAAAAACTCTAAAAGAAACTTTCTTCCTTTTTTTCCTCTCTTGGCTAATTTATATGTACTAAAATATCCTTAATGAGATACATGTCCTAAAGTGGTTATTTTACACTTAGATATTTTAATTTAGGTGGAACACCTAATTAGAATATTATTTTCTAGATTAATTCATGTTTAGAATAGTAATTAAATTTTAAATTCTAAGTTATACATGTATGGAAACTATTTAATTAAATCATATTTTCTAACTAAAGAGCTTACAACTCAGTAGTAGTGATCTCTTCCAACAAGAGGTTATAGATTCAAATCCTAGCAGATTAGTTTTGTTAGGAGCCTTGGGTGTGTGAGTAAAAAAAAAAAAATCATATTTTCTAAGTCTTTCACTTGTTAATTAATTTACTATTCATACTTAACAATATTAATTTTGCAAACAAAATACTTCTTAATAATAACATAAAAATGACATAAACATACATAATAAATAACACACATATAAGACAGATAGAAATGTTTTGGGTATTACATAATGGACTTTTCTTATGGTATTTCTCGTTCATGACTCTCATTTCATCCTTTGTCTCCTCTTTTAGTTGGTTCCCCTCAATGGCTAAACAACGAAAGGTTATACTGCTTTCCAACCTTTGCATGATGATGTATGATGGATCCCATATTTTTTGTTAATGTTTAGGATTACTCTTACTCAGTTCATCTTTTCCTTCAATTTCTCTCTCTCTCTCTCTCTCTCTTTCTTTTCTTTTTTTCACTCCCCGAATAAACACTTATGTGGTCCAAAAATTGGGCGAGTTGGTTACTTGGTGCCAATCCATCTGCCCGAAGATTTTCTCATCCCTATAGCTAGAGGTTATTAAATATTGCAACCAGTTGATGCAAAAAGATTAGACGAACACGAATCCTTACATTTCACAAACCGGGGTTTATATACAGTAACTGCAAGAAGTGTGGCTCTTTCCCCGGAGAAAGGGGAGTAAATCCCTGTCATGGGGGTGCAAATGGGTCTCGCAAATTTATTTTATCATGGGCTGAATGCAGAACACGGCAATTTCAAGGCTACTCAGAAACTCAATCATTGACAAACCATAAAATCATCAAGGGCTGTCCTTATATGAGAATATACGTTATCAAAATATTAGCAAACTTCACCATGTGTACTAAGGAAGATCATGGCATAATGGCACCTGAAAACTTCCAGCAAACTATACGGTTATAATGCTTACCAAAGAAGTTGCAGTAAATAAACAACAGAAGGGCGAACACATAAATCATGAAGGTAAATTAAGAATTGCAGACAGTATAACAATGAAATCTAGTCCACATACTGGATACTATTGAATTACAGATATTTATAAGGCCTCTATAAAGTGTCAGAGAATTTGGAAATTCGTCAAAGCTGTATCCAATATATATTTGATCCTTGCCTAATTGTAAGATAAGGGGTTTCTCTTCCACATTTCCATATGTAGTTCGCACATTCGTAAAGAACTAGTGTCCTTTTAACTAGAACTTGCCATGAACAAAAACTAGAGTCCATTTTGAAACATGATTAATCCTTCATGTGTGTCCAGTCCCCAATCTGAAGTCTCTGAAGTTTGAACTTGTACCACGAGCAAAGGCAACTGACTGCAATGCCGAGAAACCCAGGAAAAATATGCAACATTTATCCGAAACCATAAAAGGCCATTGGATCACCACAGCTTTGTTTTAACCCAAAAGAGAAGGAAGACAACTCCTAGCACAATGGCCACAGGAGCCCACTTTCGAATTAAGGCCTGCAGTCAAATGGTGTAATCAAAAGTAAATTTCAAGTGTATTTACATGTAGTTAGTTTCAGCATCCATCAAGAACTTTAGTAGCAACCAATGCAACCAAAAGTAAATTGGTGTAATCATAAGTAAATTTCAAGTGTATTTACATGTAGTTAGTTTCAGCATCCATCAAGAACTTTATTAGTAACCAATGCAAACATTTATCAACATGAATAATAGAGAAAGTTATCTTAAAACAAGCATGGAGAAAATTTTAGAATTCCAACAAGACCTAGAGTTAAAGCCCTGCAGAAACCATCCTGAAATCCATATTCTACCTGAAAGAATTACTGCAAAAATAAAATTCTATCTGACACAAGGAAACTACTGAAAAAGGTAAAGCACAGTTCATAGAGCCTACCATGCAAATCTCATAGCAACAGTGGTGCACCCAACTAAATTTTAAGCACATCAACCTATTCTTCCGAAATCCTTTCAGTCACAATCCCATAGTTTACCATGGATAATACCAAATAAAGATGTCATGGTGGCTAGTCTAGCAAAACAAGTACATAAAATTTGAGTGTTTATTAGATATTCAAAAACCAATTGTTTCCTTTGGAAGGACATGAGAATGATTCTCTGTTTAACAATAATATGCCACATAGATCTCATGTCCAGAGGCCTTCCACAAGACTTTATGACACCCACAATAGGATAAAGCACACTGTCATTGGAAAAAGGGATAAAAGCCACTTGTGCCACAAGACTTCATGCTGTTTCAAAGAATTGTCAAGAAGGTAAAGAAAACAAAGGTCCTAAAAATACATGACAACCCTTTCATTCACATTACTGTGAGGTTCCAAGAATTTGAGTGTGCAACCTTTTGCAGGACATGTGATAATTTATGATTTCAATAGTACTCAGGCTACCTTTTATTTCTTCATTTTCATAGGTAAGAATTTGCAACTTGGATAGTGCAGAATAAATTTAGTCCTAAAAAACCTCCACAATATTTATAACCAGATGACCCCAAAAGACAAAGCCAGCTGGGAAAGAGCACATTGGATAAACAGCATACAAATAGAGAGCAAGTTGTTAAAAGTATCAGTTGAAATAAAACTGTATGTTAACTCCTTATCAAATTGTTAAAGTTCAATTGAAATAAAACCCTAATGTTAATGCCTTATCAGATGGAACTAACCTGTCGATTCAAATCTCTTGCCTTGTCAGCATATATGCGGGATTCTGATGTTAACCGACTTGACATTTGACTGACCTCTGCATTGTCACCAAATATGCAAGAGAAAATTTTGTGAACATATCGAGAGGGGGAAGAAAGGTAAGAATGCAGCATCTCTTATCCAAGAGAAAAGAAAGGAGTGATTAAGCACAAAATGATGAAGCAAAAACAGCAAAAAGCAATAGATATGTCACTTGCAAAAAAAATACAAGGACCAAGTGTAATTTGGCCAAAATCAAGTAATATAGAAGAAACATGATTTGGTTGAGCTTAATAATGTACAAATTTATTATTGTGAAAAAAATTCTCTGCAAAAGTATGAATATGATTCCCCATGAGGGTTCATATATTTGGTGCTCTATCCTTGCAAGCAGGCCGAGAAAATATGGTTTACATACAATTTCTATGGGGAAACATGTGACCAAGCTAAATACGTTATGCACAGTGCCCTACATCAATAAGTTCCTATTACTTGTCAGCTTCATAATAATCAACAGACCAACTTCATTGACTAGGGAAAACGCATACATCTCTATATAACATATGCTTGCTAAAAGAAACTATGACTTGTTCGCAGAACCTAGTTGTTCATGCCTATATTATCATCACTTAATCTAATCAGTAACATATCTAAACATATATAAAAACTCAAACACTAATATACTCATTTCAAGTACAGGGAATAGATCATGTGTTTTACTTGCGTCATAATCATAAAACTGATCAATCTTTGTTTGCAAATTGTTCCACTAAAAGAAAATAATATGATTAGAAAAATCAAATAGTTTTTAAAAGTAAAATCAGATATCTTACGGTCCAGCTTTTCACCAACACCCAGAACTTCCTGCACATTGCGAGTCATTATTTGGTGGACTTCATATAGCTCATCATTCAACTTTGCAATATTCCGCTGAGTACGGGTGTCCTGGTACAATTTCTTTGTTTTCTGTATGAAAGTATCTTAAAAACATAAACATGAAAAACAAAATCAAGCCTAGTTGAGGTGCCGACGAGAATGTAAAGAATATCAAATATCTGTAAGAACAATTTCATTCATTCAAAAAAAAAAAAACACCTACCAAATTTAATGAAGGCATATGGTCTAGCAGCAGTTTCAATTTGAGCCCCATTGACACGCTCAAATTCATTCTTAAGATCTTCTAGGTATTGAAAGGCAAGTTTCTTGGGATAAGAACGGTCACACATAGTAAGGTAACAAACGCGTCCTTCAATGATGTAACTATGATCTCAAGTGAAGGAAAACATCTAATCTGACTGACTTTAACACAGAATATCAACCATGTGAATTGATAATATCAAGTAGCATCACGTGAGCATAAATTAGGTCATTAGAGAAGCATATATTAGGTGCACAAGCAAGCTAACAAGCATTTAAGTGCATGCATTAAAGCTAATTTGCACTTCTATAAAAACAGATGGGCCAAATGACCAGATAAAGTTCAATGGAAACCATCAGCACACGGGAAAACAAATACAGATATGCAGGTAAAGCTGCTTTCACCACCAGAACAATACACATGCGTATATATGATCAGTAAGAAACACATCTTTCTTTATGAGTGCTCTGCAGTGCTATTAAACTGTTAACAAAAATCTAGCAACATATTAGACTTTGTTAGCAATACTACTGCAGAATCCTTAAAAGTGCTGGAGGAAGATAAAATAAGAATATGAAAGCTAAAGACAAGTGTAATATGCTTAGCAAGTCTAATAAAAATGTTTAAGGAGCAATATACATGAATGTCAGGCCATCAATAACAAAGTTCCAAAAATTATGAAATGACCAAATCCAGAAAAAGATGCAGGATACTGGAAAACATAAGGGCCAGTTTCAATGGACATCCTCGAAGCATCATTGTGGCCAGATGCAAGGTTCTTGAAAAGTGCCTTGACCTGCTGTTTGTACATTTCAGCATCTTTCACATCACGACCATCATCCAATCCCTCTGCTAGGGGAAGCCCATCCGTAACACGAGCAATCATTGTCAGCTTCACCATGTTGACTTACTTCTTCACTTCCTCAGATATACAAAATAACTGCATTATGTTAAAAAGAGAAAACCCAGATCCATGAGAGGCCAAAGCAGCAAATTTGATCAAAACTCAGTCTTCAAAACCAATATTTAATAAATAAAACAATGAAACATTCCTTAAGCTAAATTTGGCATCAAAGCACCTGATGTAAATCATCTAAATTATCTGAAATCTAAAAATAGGATGATACTCATTAAAATATGTTCAATAAAAAAATAAAAAAAAAAACCCATGATTCAGTTTCGTAATTGTCTTATATTTAGAAATAAAAATAAAACAATTGAAAAGCCATTATTAGAAGAAAAAATGATCATAACACAAACAAAAAAAAATCCAATCTTTCTTCTATAATTCAACAACATAAAATAAACAAGATCCCTGCGATCTATCTTCAGAAATAAAAAAAAAAACCCAATTAAGACCCCCATGAAACAATGCAACCACACGTTTATAAAAACCAAAATAAAAACCCATCAAATTATAATTCAAGTGTCAAATAAACATGCAAAAAGAAAAAAGAAAAAGAATTACCTGATTAGCATGTGGGTTTTTGGGTTGGGATTAAGGGATCTGAGGAAGACGAGAGACGATGATGGTGAAATCTATGTATAATAGCAAACAAAAGACAGAGACCGAAGAGAGAACAGTCGTTACTTTGTTAAGGTAAGCTGCAATTTCTATCTGTCCGTAACAAGTAATTTCGAAGATGGTACCACCAACATGAAGTAAATAGGATGTGGTCTTCTTTTAAGGCTTGACCCAGTCCATGGTATTGGGCTTCAGTAATCTGGGTCCATGAAAGCGTCATTGCGCCAGCTCTCGTGTACCAGTTCTGAACTTCCTCTTCCGGTTTTAAACAAAGAGTAAATTATAAATTACTCCCTCAACTTTTGCAAAAGAGGAAACGGCTTTTTTGTATCCAACCTTCAATTTTTAATAATTTGCTACCAATTTTTTATTTTATTTTTTTCTTTTTTGGTGCATGAACCTTCAATTTCTAATGATTTGCTACCTAGCTATTAATTTTATTATTATTATTATTATTATTATGTTTAAAGTCATCTGAGATCCAATATTACTAATATGTTTAACGAGAGCTACCGCATGATATTTTTTTAACTATTACGTGATAGTTGTGACTGTCACATTGGACAACAAGAAAAAAAAATCTCTAAATTGAATTTTAATTAAGTAAATAAAAAACTGTTATTATTTTAATTAACTTTCATTAATTTTCTAAATTTTGAGACTATAGAAATCATAGTGTGAAGCATTATAAGACAAATATTAACAATTAAAAAATAAAATACAAATAATTAACTAAAAAACAAAAATACCATCACAAATAGCCATAACTTTCCACCTAAAAATCAAATCCATATCTCATTGAAATATATTTTTATGGATAGGTGATAGAAAAAACCCCATTTTCAAAAACACATATCTATCCAATTATTTTTTTCATTTGTTTAATTTAATTTAACAAATTCAAAGACCATAATCAATCCGGCAAAAAACAGGTGTCTAAGCACGTCTTTTATCATTCATCTAAAATACAAATAATTAAAGCAATTGAAGCAAAATCTTCTATTCTACGAACCCTAATTATTTATCCAAATAGCTCAATTAATCCTTTTTTTTTTTTTGTGGCACCAATTGAAGCAATTGAAGGCAATTGAAGGCGAATGAATGAAGAATCGAACAGAAAGACAGCCTTAGCCCTCAATCCCCCTAATCCTCCTCCTCAGATCTTAAATTCCACTTATTCTTCTTTTTCTTCTTCTTCTCTGAATCATTTTAATATTAATGAAAGTTTGGAACATGATGGCTTATAGTGATGGTGTGTGGGTTACGTCTAGGTGGAGATGGCATTATTGATGTGATGGCTAGTTTTGAATGAGGTTTTGGTAGTAGTGGTTATGGTGGTTTAGAGAAGGAAATTACAGTGCCATGGTCAATGGTTATTGCAAGGCGAATCATTGGAAAGAGGCTCGTGATCTTTCGAATGATATGAAGAAAAGAGAGCTTGATGGGTATTGGTTAGCTGCTGCGAGAGAGAGAGAGAGAGAGACTAACTATGTACAGAGAAGGAAGAGATAGATGGGTGATGGTTAGCGGCTAGGTTTTTTTTTTTTTTTTTTTGCAGTTGTGGGTTGTAGGTTTTGGCAAATAATGGTTTTTTATTATTATTTACTTAATTAAAATTCAGTTTATACACTTTTGTTTTTTTTTTCTGGTTGTCCAACATGCCTGTCATAATGTCACGTGATAGTAAAATATGTTACGTGATAACTCTTGGTAGACACGTTGGTAAAATTAGATTTCAAGTAACTTAAGACATCAAAACAGAAAAAAACAAAAATGAAAGGTTGGTAACAAATCATTATCAATTAAAAGTTGGACACCAAAAAAGCGACGAATTCAAAAATTATTCAGTTTCTATATTTTAAAATTTATTTATAACTTATTCTTTCTCAGTTTATGTTTTTTTTTTAAGAAATAGAAAAAAAAACATATAATATGAAAAAATTGATGAGACAAAAAAATATTTTTGAAATACAATAATATTAAATAAAATATGATCAACACTAGTTAAAAGACTAATTAATTAATTCTTAAAATCAAAATGATTATTTAATTTATTTTACAAAGTATTTGTGTGTTTTTAAAAAAAAAAATATATAATTTTTTATAGTCTTCAATTTCATCCTTAAAAAAAAAAAAAAAAAAAAAAAAAAAAAAAAACATCTCCGCTACCAACTAAAGTAAACCACCAAGGATGACCCGCTATTTCTACCGCAAAACAATATCTCCAGTAAACGAACCAAAATGTATTGAATAAAACAATTCGTGATTTTTGTTATGTTTTATATTAGAATTTTATCTTACCATCCCTAAGAAAGCTTTGTTTTGTCTCCTGAGACAAAATTGATATAATGATTCTTCTCAAACTATCCATTCTCATTTTCCATAAATTCAAAAATACCATTCACTCTATCAGTCTTTGTACTTAAAATATATATATATATATATATATATATGAAAAAAAGAAGATGAATAATAAGTTATGAAAAGTGAAAATTTTCAAAAATTAATTAATTTTGTTTTAGTTACTAATAAAATAACTATTTATTCTCTAAATAAAAACAAAGATCTTTGTTTTTGTAAATAAAATAATTATTGATAAAAAAATGTTCATAATTATGCATATATTAATGATAAAAAAAAAACTAAATGTAAGTTTGATTTAAATAATAATTCTCGAAATATTGGAATATATATAAAGGTAATTATGCATGCATGACTATTTCATAGCTTACGAAAACTTTGTGATTATTTTTTTCTTTTCAAAAAAAAAAAAAAATCTTCCATCTCAACCCCTTTTTTAATACTTTATATGATAAATTAACAATACTTTTTCCATTATCACGCATTCTAAATCAAAAAAGAAATAGTTATAAACTAGCTTGTGACATGCGCTACGCTACAAGTTAGACAAAATAAATAAAAGTATTTGAATAAAATATAGCATTCATTTATTGAGAAAAATAATGAAGAATATTTTAATGTGTATAACATATGAAAATGTAGTTGTATATAAAAAAAATCTTTCGTAAAAACATTTAAAACCTATTTTAAAGTCATTCAAGTTTATGTTAAGTCGGTGAAAGTAACCATTGTTATTGTAATAAAACTAATGCCTATGAGTTATTGTTATTATATGTAAATAGAGTTAATTGTAATTCAAAGTGTAGGGAGTGTAAAAATATTTTTATGGAATTAAGCTTAGATTTTCAAATTCAAATCACTATTTAAAAATTAAAACTAACAAATATAAGTTATTTGTTGCTATATGTAAATAGAGTTAATCTTAATTCGAAATGTGAGGCTTGCGCAAAAATTTTATGGAATGAAACTAAGATTTTCAAAGTCAAATTACTATTAAAGAATTAATACATTCATCATACATAGTGTAAACATAAAAGCGAGAAGGAGAAAAAAAAAGATGCTTGATTTGTTCCATTCCATCCAATCCTTTAACATCTACATATAACCAAACAAAAAAAATGAACATGAACTTGCAATTCCATGATATTTTTGGAATTCATGTTGATTTTCTCAAATGAAAAAAAATGAAAACAATGATGTCATTTGGCTTGTATTGCAAAGAGTTCTATTCCAAAAATTTGAAACAAATGATTGTTGAATTTTTATCTTTTTAAAAACGAAATATAAAAACAAACAAACTTTTTTGTTTGTATTTCTAAATTTGGTTTTGAAAGACTAAAAAAAAAAGATACTTTAGGGTACCTTTTGTTATTAAATTTCTATATGAGATTAGAGCAAATCAATTATTAGTGTAGATGTCCTAGATCTAATCTGTTTGAATAGTTTGATTTATTATAACATTGTATTTAAATATTAATAAAGAAGACTTTTTATAAATTCTTGTTATTTATAATTTGAAAGAACTAGATAGAAGTCTATATGATATGCATTACATTAATGATTGATTAATAGATGTAAGACAAACATCAATGCATTTAAATGATATCATTAAATGTCCTAAGTAGTAGCATTGTCAAGATTGACTATTGACAATATGCGGTAAAACTTGTGAGTGCTACGCTCATGCTATAAGATAGCATAAGAGATCTCCGACGTACTTGGAATGGTGATGTCAAAGTAAGCACTCAAGTGAATAATGTTAAAGAACATATCATTAGATGTGACTCGTCATGATAACCCATTTTGTATTGTCTATGGGAATCTCATACGAGATAGGTACAAGTGATCATTTGACTTGAAGTCATTACGGTTATCTTATTAGAGGATTGATGTACTTTAACACTCATTTTGATGGGCTTCATAAAGAGCTGCATGTGGGCGATTCGTTGGGTGCATTAGGAATCTAATGGAGATAAGTGGATGATTAAGATAGGATATGTCATTCCTTATATGCTAAAGAAGTGATCACATTGCATTTTGATAAATGTATGTCCATGAATTTGTGATCATAGTGGAAACATACCAATAGAGTATAGTTGGCTCACTTGAAAAATAAGACATTTGGAGATTAAAGAAAACTTATGTGATCATAATCAAACAAACTATAAACCAAGTTTAAGATCCCATTATGATAAATTGACATGAAGAATAAATTGTATGGAAATCATACTCGTAAAAGATAATTATGAATTAATTAATCCTCCGAGAGAATTAAGCATTCATGATGTCATACTAGAGGTCAATCTTAATTTATATATTGAGAGATAAAAGAGGTGTCTTTTACTTCTCGATACGTTACCAACATATCTAGAAGCTTATTGAGTCACACTTATAAGTTTAAACATTCACATGATAAAAGAGATGTAAAGGCTTTGGAAAAAAATTTTCTGTTTTGGAAAAGTTTCTTATTTTGAAAAATTAGTTGCCTAAAATGAAAGTCGGTTTTCTATTTTAAAAATCAGTTTTTTAATTTAAAAATTAGTTTCCAAATTTAGAAGTCAATTACCTAAAATCAAAATCAATTTTCTAATTTAGGTTTAAGGGTAATTGGAAAAAAATGTTTCCTAATACGAGCCTTCCTAAAGATATTTGACCCAATTTATTTGGATGGTCCAAATTAATTGATAATTAATTGAGCTAAAGGAGTTTGGGCCAATAGGTTAATTAAAAACTTATAAGATATTTTGGTGGATAGATAATCTTGAGCACTAAAGGATAAGGCTTAGAGTTTACAAGGATAAGGTTAGACAAGCTCACATAAGCAACAACTCATTTCCTATGAAAAAGTTATTGCCAACCTTAATAAATAGAGAAATGAGAGAGAGACAACAATAACTTAACAAAAAAGAAAAGAAAATTTTCTCTCTTAAATTAAGAAAAAGGACAAAAGTTGTTGCACCTCTCTCTAGAGAAATATTGTGCAACTCTTACCGATTTTTTAATGTAAATTTCACATAGCGAGAAAAGAATTAGAGCTAGCATTATACAATTTCTACTTGTTTCTTGCATGGTTGTTTAAGCTCATGGATCATTAGTAGAGATCGGATTTTGGATGGTTCTTTTTGTAAATTAATTTCTACGCTACAAGAGGTAACCGCAAATCATCTTGTTGCTGATATAGTTAGTTGATTCAACGACCGATCTTGAAAACTTTAAATGGAAGAGAATAAAATTTTTGTTTATTTCGCACTTTTACAAGATGCATGATCCTTTAATTGGTAGCAGAGCTCTTATTGAATCTATAATTATATTGATGTTAATTTTAATTAATTGTACCAATTATTGATTTACGCTTTATAAATATAATGATTTTGGTGTTTTATAATTGTTTAAAGTTTGACTTTAGGCTAGTGGGAGAGTGTGCACGAGGCCAACATTGGATGTTGGCCATAACGTGTGCTAGGCCGGGTATGCCTCGCGCACGCTAGGACGAGTGCACACGAGCACACCAAGCCAAGCGCGCTCGTCTTGCCGAGCCAACCCCGAGCTAAGTGTGCCTCACACCCGCTAGGCCGGCCTTAGGCTAAGCATGCCTTATGCATGCTAGGCTAGCCCGAAGCCGAGTGTGTCTCGCACTCACGAAGCCCGGTGCCTTACCGGGCACATGAGGGTGTGCGCCAATCTAGAGGGTGCCGGGCTAGTGCCAAGCATTGGCCGGTTAGGTCACGAGGCTAGTTTTAGGCACCACCCCATGGGCATCCAAAACCCAATGGGCCTAAATGGGCCGGAGGCCCAAAAGTCTATAGAATTAAAATTTAGAAAAATTTTAATATTTTATAAAATGAACAAAATCATAAATTTATAATTATGTTAAAATGAAATAGGTTTCATTTGTTTATATGCTATGTATGAATGTGATTGAAGCATAGGTGAATGGTATGGATAAGTCGACTTAGTTTTTGGGAATGTATGTTTGTAATTTTTTTATTATATAGGACATGCATGTCTTTCCTTCTCTTTTATTGCAATATACTTCTCTTCTCATCTCATCTTACTCCCCTCGAATGTAACACAAGGTTTCTTATTCAAAAAATTATAAAAGTAGAAGATAAATTAGAGGAATAGCATAAGGAGAAAGAGTCAAGAAGAGAAGACAATCCTAAAGAAAATGTAATAATTTTTCATCTAGGTTTATGACCCACTAGGTTCCTTATGGCTCGAGGGAACTAGTAGTAGAAACTCATTATCATTCATTGGTCCTTAAGTCATGAATGATATTGATGTGATTGAACTCTAATATGCATGATTATTATGTCTTTCTTTCTTTTTTTCTTTTATCTTGTGATCAACTTATTATAGATTGAAAATTAATTTTTTTTCCTTCTTATTTTGGTAAAGAAAAAAAATTTAATCTGGAGGTTATTATTATTTGGGTTATACAATAAGAAGTAACTCTCTTTTATTACATATAACTAAATAAACTAGAGTCATTAGAATTTGAATCTACTTTATTGGAAAAAATTATTAGATATAAATGAGATTTTTTCTTTTAAAATAGAACAATGAATCTTGAATTACAACAATACAAAAGTAGATTCATGATTTTCCTATTTTACATGACTAGTTGTTATATTAATGAAAAATTACATGTAAGGTAATAAAGACCTCATATGCATATCTAATATATCTCCAAAAAATATGGAAGATTGCAATTTAATGACACCTCCATACAGTTTCTCTCTTACTAGATACTCACCTAGCTAAACAGGGGGAGAAAATCAAAGAGAATCTCTAACTACTATCCTCAACCAATCATAGGATCGAATACAGGTATTTTTAAGACAAGAAAAATACAGATTTTTTTTACCAAACATTCATGATTACAGATTTGAACATCCCCCTGTGTGTAACTTATGCATGGTGCATGCATGTTGCTTATTATAAAACACCCACAATATAGAGCAAAGCAATATTCAAAAAACTTGGACAACCAACAAAACAATGAATAGTGCTTGTGATGATCTCCCTGCTGTCTTTGGCGCATGCACTTGGCCAATTTCAGCAATGAACCAGAGTGAATCAATGTGGCCATTAGGAAAGATAATAGAAGTTTCACCTGCTACTTCAATATCATCGTTCCAAGATGTGGTGCAGATTGAAACTTCCCATCAGAATCCTCAACCTGTTATGATCGACAGGAATGAATCAGAGCTTGCACTAGAAAAGCTGGCACTCGAATTATCAGTTAGTAATATTACTAGCACACCTTCTTTGCTTCCACCGTTAACAACATTGTCTCTAAATGAGATAGTGGAGATAAGCCATCAAAGGTTTGATCAGAACCCCCAAGTTTCAGGTATGACAAGGAGTGAATCTGAATTGGCCTTGGAAAAGTTTTTAGACGAATTGTCAGCCACTGCTTCTTCTGTGGTGCCACTATTGCCAACTTCATCGATAGTTGACAACGAGAACATAATAAAAGTAGAAAATCCTAAACTTGCTCAAGCTTCAGCATTGGATATTAATTATGTGCTTAAGGCCAAACTCAATATGGCGTGCGCTGCTGCTGCCGCCCTATTTGGGGTATGATATTTATTCTTTCTCTCTGGTCCCAGTAAATTTTTGTCCTTGAATGGTTTTGTTACATTATTTATAGGATAAATTTGACATTTCTATTACAAACCTTTAATTCATAATTTTGTCAAATGTGATACAGGGATCGTCTACACATCCCGAAGATCCAATACAAGCTGAACAAGATTTTGGGCCATCTCCTGGTAACAATTTGCAGATGGTTTTTTTCATATAACGTAAAGGGAGGATTATTTATATATCCACCGCTGTTTTTGCATTTATTTATGAATTTGGTGCAATTAATTTATTTTTATCAAAGTAATGGTACTAAGCATGTGATGGTGTCTTCATTGCAGAATCCGAGATTGATGCTATGCTGAGAAAGCGAAAAGTACAAATAAGGCAAACAATAAGTGATGCATCATCTAAAGAAAACTCAGAAACCATTGAACAAATAGATCCTGAAGAGGCAAAACGTGCGAGGAGGTAATCACAATTGATTACTTGTCTCTGATATTTTTCTTGTGTATATCTTTACTGACGGGCTTATATATGCAAGAAAAAAGAGGGGGGGGGATAAAAAAGTGGGGCATCTTATTGATGATTTCAAATTTTAATGGGTTTTCAGGCTCGAGGTGAATAGAAATTCAGCTAGAAGCTACAGAAGAAGAAGACAAAGCCAAATATATGAACTACAAGAGCAGGTTAATTAATTTTTCCTTTTCCTCCACTTGCTCTTAAATATTGACACTCGCATACATACATATGGTACACATCCTTTATCTTGTGAAATTTATCTTTTAATGATTTCAGCGGAATATTTAGTTTTGAACTCATATCTAATATATTATTATCATATCATTAGATTGATCAATTAATGTACGAGCATGCTTCAATGGCATCAGAATTGGCTAAAGTACGAAAAATGCATCATGATGCTATTGCTGAGAATGAAAAATTGAAGGATGAAATTGGGACATTAAAAGCTAAGGTAAGCAGTTACGTGTGTGTGTATGTGCGTGTATTTATGATTTCTTGACATGGTTCTCATATTCGTATTTTTTATATAGGTGAATAAGGTTGAAGAAAATGTTGAACAACTGATGAAGTTGAACCCCATGCTCATCTTGAATTTTCGGAGGCAAAGTGACATGCAATTTGTTAGCTGCCAAGCAAGTCATGCATCTTCAAATGTTGTGTTCAATCTGGAACCAAACTCCATCCAACAAGGGCAGGCAGATCTTGACAATGCTCCTTCTACTTCTTCACTTCACAGAGTGGCCAACATCTACTTCCTTGACGACAATAACGTTGCCAGAAAGCCACAAATTGATGATTCGAAAATTACAAGTACAATCAACATCGGATCACGGAATATATGCGGCAATGACATGTCATTCATTCAAGGTTGCCACTTTTTTGGTTAATCCTTGTCATGAAATTAAAGCAAGTTATTGGTGTTGGTACAGGATCCAGTTATTTTTATCAGGTGGATCCAAATCATATTAGGTTTACATGACTAGATTCGTGTAATTGTGGGGATATATACAGTGCAACATTGGATCCTTTTATATATATGTTTTTATTTGGTGGGTCCAAATAATATTATGTTTGCATGTTTTCGATTCATGCATCATGGGTATATTACTTATAAAAATTTTTAAGCATTTAATATTAATATTAAAGGATCTTTATTTGGAAAATAGTATATATACAAACACATTTGTTGTCCAAATGGCAACACAGCAGCGGTGAAATTAGAAGTTATAAACTAACAAAACTTTAAATAACAGATGCAACGCACAAACAATTTATGATTATTAAAATAATTCACGTACGTATGCAGAATGAATACAAAACTTGAGTTTTTAGACGAGTAACACAAACAAAATCACAGCCATTAAAAACTTAAAAAGATTATATATATATATATATATATATGATCAAATATGGATGTAATTAACAGCATATATAGATGAGAAAACAATATAGATATATATAGAGAGAGAGAGTGGCTTGCACAAAGTATTTATTCTGATTCCACACAAAATTAATATGGGTAGTCTAGTCCTCAAGAGAATCTCTTGAGATTTGATGTCACTGTATTTCTGTATTTCTTTTACACATATCAACGTCTTTTTACTTCTGAATTTAACCCCTTAATTACAACACTTGGTAATTGCTGGGATTAATTCAGTATGAAGACTCACTCTAAATTCTCTTTCTCTTCGTAGTGAAACCGACGTTTGTTGTTTACAAGATTCTTTAACAATATAAGTTGTAAGAAGAATATCTGAATCTATCTCACAAGTAAGAATAATGTGCTTGAAGTAGTACTCTTGTTCTTGATTAATTTCTTATTGAACTTTCGATCAATTTCTGGCAAAAAGACAAACCATTCCAATTTGGTTTCGTACGGGGAAGAAGAGATAATCTTCAAACTTTACAGAACAAATTTCGGCTTCTTAAGTGATGAATATGCTGGATTGAATTCTGCTGAACAGTTAATACACATAAGGTACCTTTGGACTTTCATTGAAGATATGCGGTCTTGTCTTGGACTTGAATCCTTGACTTCTTGATTTCATCTTGAAGTTGGGTTCGTGACAAGTTAACTCATAACTTTGTCTAAACTGTAGGACCAATCAATCAGGCAAAAGAAATTTCTGCAAATTCAAATAGTTTGTTAGATCAAAAACATATGGCTTGTTATCATTAAAATAACACGTGAGGATTCAACAAAATTATATTAAAACATTATACAAACATGTGTAAGTATTAAGTAAGGAATTGTAAACCTTAACAACGGGGTTGCTTTGAGTGAAAAAACTTCTAATCGTTTAAGTAAGTGGTCTCGAATTCAAGTTTTTATGCTTGTAAAAAGAACTCTTTAGGTAGCTAAACTCATAGTCAAATAACTAGAGATGACACCTTGAGAATTAAAAAAAAAAAGGAGCAATTTTCATTTTAGTTTATAAGAAAATTTTGTATAATTTGTTTGTATACATAGTTTTGATCTTCTTGTTTTGAATAATTATTTTAGTCAAAATGTTTTTCTTATTATGTTTTTTTAAACTAATGTTAGGTGTTAGGATTACGTTATTTTATAATTAAAATTATTGTATATTTTCGTATTCTTTATATATCTAAAACAGGTAATGGTTTCACTGTTCCGGTGAACATTGTGAACAGTGAATCATCACTTTTTTTTTTTTTTGCGCTTTTGATTGAGTTTTTTATCTTCTTTTTTAAATTTTACTCTTACTTATTTTCTTAGTTTTACTAAATTATTAAATTTTTTTTTCACCCTTAGTTTTTTCCTTAGGTTTTTTTTTAAAAAAAAATTTAAATTATTTCATTTTGATCCTTAAAATTTTAAAATAAAAATTTTAATCCCTAGCTGATGCACTATATGTCTTTTTTTCTTTAGTTTTTTTTTTCATATCAATTTATGTTCTTTTTTTATTTGATTGAGTGCTAAAATTTTTAAAAATTGATCATTATTTTTTTTCAAACAGATCGATGATTTACTATACCCTCACGTTATACTATTCAATCTTAGTTTTTTTTTCCTTTTTTTTAAAAAAATTCACTATTATTTTTTTCTTATTTTCTTAGTTTTTTAAAAATTTTACTCTTATTATTTAAAATTTATTTCTTCAATTATTTGTTTCTTATTAAAATTCTAATCAAATTAATTTTTTGATAAAATTTTATTTGTTAATAAAATTTTAGAACGTCAATTTTTTTTAAATATATTATTATAATTTATGTAATAAATTATTTTTATGCTTTTTAAATGAGTTTTTTATTTTTTAAAATATATTATTATAATTAGTATGAATAGTGAACCATCACATACTATTCATTTGAACAGCTTTTTTTTTTTTTTGCTTGAGTTTTTTTCCCTTTCTTTTTTAATTTTCACTCTTGCTTATTTTCTTAGTTTTCTTAAAAAAAAAATTTAATTCTTTTGTTTATTTTCTTTTTAATTTTCACCCTTAGTTTTTTTTTTTTGTATATATTTTTTTTAATTTTTGAATTATTTCATTCTAATCCCTAAAATTTTTTTAAAAAATTTTTAATCCCTAGCTAATGCACTATATGTCTTTTTTTCTTTGGTTTTTTTTCCTCATTAATTTATGTTCTTTTTTTATTTGATTTAGTGTTAAAATTTTTAAAAATCGATCGTTATTTTTTTTTCAAACTAGTCGATGATTTACTTTATCCTTACACTATACTACTCAATCTTAGTTTTTTTTTTTTCCTTTTTTTTTAAATTTTCACTATTACTTTTTTATTTTTTCTTAGTTTTTTTTTAATTTTTACTCTTATTATTTAAAATTTGTTTCTTCAATTATTTGTTTCTTATTAAAATTCTAATCAAATTAATTTTTTGATATAATTTTATTTGTTAATAAAATTTTAAAACATCGGTATTTTTTAAAAATATATTATTATAATTTATGCGATAAATTATTTTTATATTTTTTAAATGAGTTTTTTATTTTTTAAAATATATTATTATAATTTATAAATTCGATTATACACACACACATGTATACATATATGCATACACACACACACACACACACACACAATACATGCATATATATATATATATATATAGAGAGAGAGAGAGAGAGAGAGAGAGAGAGAGAGAGAGAGAGGTCCATTCATTTGAACAAGTATTTCTTTTTTTTCTTTTTTTCGTTTTTTACTTTTGTTTTGCCCTCAACTATACTATTAAATCTTAATTTTTTTTTCTTTCTTTTTTACTTTTCACTCTTACTTATTTTCTTAATTTTTTTAATTTTTAAATTATCTTTTTTATTTTTTTAAAATTTTCACCCCGAGTTTTGTTTTTCTTAGTTTTTTTTTTTAAAAAAAAATTTCAAATTATTTCATTATGATCCATAAAATTTTAAAATAAAAATTTTAATCCCTAAATGATGCATTATATGTCTTTTTTTTCTTTGGTTTTTTTTCTCATCAATTTATGTTTTCTTTTATTTGATTGAGTGTTAAAATTTTTAAAAATCGATCATTATTTTTTTTTTCACATAGGCTTATGATTTACTTTACCCTCACACTATACTACTTAATCTTAGTGTTTTTTTTCCTTTTTTTTAAAAAAAATTCACAATTAATTTTTTCTTATTTTCTTATTATTTTTTTAAATTTTTACTCTTATTGTTTAAAATTTATTTCTTCAATTATTTGTTTCTTATTAAAATTCTAATCAAATTAGTTTTTTTATATAATTTTATTTGTTAATAAAATTTTAAAATGTCAATTTTTTATAATCTATACAATAAATTATTTTTATGCTTTTTAAATGAGTGTTTTATTTTTTAAAATATATTATTATAATTTATAAATTCTTATTATATATAGAGAGAGAAAGAGAGAGAGAGAGAGCTAAGAGTATATTTTAAATAGTTTGGCTTACTTTCAAAAAAAATAATAATGATGGGTTAAAAAAGTCATAATTTTATTTGCTATTTTATATATATTTATTCAAAATTTATCGGAATCAATTTTATTATAGTTTTTATTTTAATCTATTGACTTCAATATATTTCATACAATTTAGCGAGCTTAATCTTCTTCTTTTTTTCCTTCATATATATATTATCATGAAATCAGGTGTGAAAAATATAGAAAATAAATCATTATTTTTTTAAGTTTTACATACAGTTTGAAAATGATAGAATATATATGATATTTTTTAAGATTTTAGTTTGAGCATATATATATATATATCTTATTATATTACTCTTATTGTTTAAAATTTATTTCTTCAATTATTTTTTTCTTATTAAAATTCTCATCAAATTAATTTTTTTATTTAATTTTTTTTGTTAATAAGTTTTTATATATATATGAATTTTGGAATAAAATTTTAAAACGTTGGTGTTTTATATTTTAAAAATATATTATTATAATTTATAAATTATGATTATATAGAGAGAGAGAGGGGGGGGAGGAGATAAAAGTATGTTTTAGATAGTTTAGCTCAATCTTTAAAAAAAAATTCACGGGTTTTATTTTATATATATATATATATATTCAGAATTTATCGAATCAATTTTGTTGTGTTTTTTTTTAGTCTATTGACTTCAATATATCTTATACAATTTAGGTGAATTTGTTTTTTTTTTTTTTGTATATTTTTTATTCATTCTATATACTCTAAATCTATTAAATATTATATATATATATATATATATATATATATATATATGCACACATGATACCAATTCTTCATTCTTTATTTTTTATATTCTAAATTTTTTTTAAAAAATAAAATAAGTTACATAATATTTTGAAAGAACTTCTCAATTATTCAAATACAAATTTTTATGCTAATATTATTAAATATTTTATTAATAAATATGTGTGTGTGTGTGTGTGTGTATGAAAA